GGTAGGTGCAGAGAAATTGCTAACTCGGTTGTAACACCTTGTTGCTTTGTCCTCTAAAAACTTGAGAATCTGATGGAGTGTACACAAGATGCTTCTCATTGAGAGGGTCCTGTCATTTGACTCGCCCTAGGTGCTGATACGCTTCTGTGGGCTCATAGCAGGGAAACCACATTATCCTCTGTGGCTGTTAATGAGCCTTGCTAAATATTTTTGGAGCTTTGGACTCTGCCATAGTGACAGCCTGCTAATCTTGTCAGAAAGCGAGCAGTTGTTTGCCCAGTGTAAATTGGCAAATGAATATTTTATTATTTTATAATGGGTGGGAGGCACGTGAATGGAAGACTTGGTCATTCAGAGATTGCAGCCGCTTTTCTCTGGGGATCTCACATCGTGTCTCTCTCTGGCATTTCAGAATAGCTGCTGGAAAGCTGCCCTGCCGTAGCCTCTGACGCTATGGAAGACCGCATCCGCTGGTCTAGGCTGTAGGATGGTAGCGCACAGCAAGGTGTCAGCAGATAATGCAGTTGCAGCAGACCCAAGATGTCTACTTGACCCTCCGGCACGGGACCGTTCACAGGCTCGAGGCTACCACGGCCCAGGCCGGCCCAGCGCTGTGCAGGCACAGAGCAACACGCACTTCCGAACCTTTCGCTCGCAAGCGGATTTTAGTAGCATCACTCGAGCAAGCAGCCTGCTGGATGCCTGTGGCTTCTACTGGGGACCTCTGACTGTCAATGCTGCCCACGAGAAGCTGAAGTCTGAGCCTGAGGGCACCTTCCTCATCAGGGACAGCACACAAAAGAATTGCTTCTTTGCCATCAGTGTTAAGACTGCAACTGGACCCACTAGCATCCGGATAAACTTTCAGACTGGGCGTTTCAGCCTGGATGGCAGCAAAGAGACTTTTGACTGTCTTTTTAAGCTGCTGGAACATTACCTAAGCTCCCCGAGGAAGGTACTGGTTACCCCCCTGCGCAAAGTCCGTGTGCAGCCCCTTTTTGGAAGAGCATCGTGAAGACTTTTGGAAGAGAGAACTTAAACCAGATCCCCCTCAATCCTGTTTTAAAGGACTATCTGAAATCCTTCCCATTTCAGATATAAGTACAGCATTAACTGTATAGGGACACGTAAAAGATGTGTAAAGAAATCCAGCTTCCTGGGTTTTTAAACATGTTTGACAGTAAGCAAACTTATTTTTGTAGCAATTTACTGTATTTTGAGATAGAACTTGAACACTTGACTTATGTTTACAAAAACTGTTTGCACAAACCTGGGGTTTTAAAACCCTGGCATAATTTTTCTGCAAAGCAGAATATTTTAT